ATATCCCGGATGGAGCTATACATTTAAGGAGTTACAGAGCTTCCAAGGGAACCTCCTAAAGTGGTAGCCCAAATTTTTTTTCTCTCTCTCATCTACTATTTTCTTTTTTTATGAGTAAACTCATCTTAGGGGTAGGGAATGTCAGCTTGCTACTATGGCAGAGACAACCTGTCATAGCAAATAAAAAATAATAAATTACATAAAAAATCTAAGTATAAATTAAAAATATTACATAAGTAAAAGAAACAATATTACTTATGTAAATAAGATAAAAAATACATAAAAATAAATAAATAACTTAAAAAGTATAAACAAAACCTTGAATATTATTGCAGATTCTGAATCAGCACACAATTTAACCTAGGGTACCTCAGCCAAAGGTACCCCAAATTCTAACTCCTTCATCCTGTAATACAAGCATGAATAATTAACAGGTACCCCCAGATCACGGGTACTGTGACACTTCTGCATAATGCATAATGCATATACTCCAAATCCAGTCTCAGAATTGGAGTATTGTGCACGGTTTAGAAGATAGAGCAATGTGGAGTCCTGTCTCCAAGCCCCTGTGCCACGTAGTCATGCTGCGCACCAGTATCCAAGGATTGGGCCACAAAAGCCCCAGAATACCCATTACACGTGGCAACAAAGCCCCCACACGTGTAATAAGAATGTGAAAAAGCTAGAATATCTATGAAAATACTACAGTAACCATATTCCAGTGGGTAACACGTGTAGCAAGCCTCAGAAGACACCTCTGGAATATTCTGTGGCCCATTTCCAAGGAACCTGCTCCACGTAACAGAGTAGCCCCTATCCACAGGTTCCCATGGGACATTCTTGGCTGTAATAATTTCGTGCATGACCCCTTGGAGCTTCTGGAATATTATCCCCAAGGTTCCAGCCCTGGTTACATCACCATGTGGGCCAAAATGGGCCCAAAAGCGCCCCCAAGTCCTACTAAGCTCCCCTGAGCAACCCCTGAGGCCTTCCACAGGTATTTAAAGGGCCTTCTGACCGCCCAAATAATGATCCCCCAGCTTTACAATACCTTATAGAAATTTACTTACCATTTACAAGTCCCCTACACTTGTAATTAGCCTAGTTACTACTATAATTGCTGTTATTAAAGCCTCAAGAACCCTCAAGAAACTCCCCAGTTATCACCCAGCACCCAAAATCAACCTTTCTGAGCGCTCCCAACTGTCCAGTTTCTACTAAGAAAATCCTCAAGACCCCTTTGGATTATTACTAGTGAGTAATAACCCTTTCTTGAAGATTTTCCCCTAAAAATTATCTCCTGGGATTTAAACCACACCTGCTACAGGCCCCAGTGTATCAGGTACCTAAATCCTCTGCTTTTTGCACGATACCTTAGAGGGATTAAACCACCCCTGATTTATCAGGCCCCTCTGGTTTAATTTATATTAAATTTATTAATATAAATTGGCCACTTTTTGGATTTAATCCATAAATTCCACGTAATTCTTTTGAATTACCTGTACCAGTTCTATCCCAGAGTTTTTGCCATAAAAACTCTTACTTTTTGCACCTTGTGTAGCTAGAGGACACGTGTCTTGGCATCACATAGGCTGACAGGTATTTTTATCTGATGTAATGCCAGATGTAGCAATCTGATACAATCACTTTGGCAGTGCTGGTCTCAACACTTATAGTCTTATTTTGTTGACTGAAATGAGTCAATTTGACTCATTGCCAACCCCTTTTGGTGGCCTATTTATACTCTTTCAGTGTTGTTTTAATCTCATCCCCTGTGGCCCAACAGTATAACTCTCCTGTCAACCATCCCAAAAACACATCTTGAGCCTGCTGGACCCCTGTTCAAACCCCTGTGAAGAACATCCTTCAGAAAACAAACCTCTGGTCTGGATCCCCTATTCATACTGGAAATCATGCGTTTTATCAACCTGTGTTTCATAGTGGTAGCAGTCACATCAATGAACCCAACACAGGCAGCACTTTCAACCACAACAGCAGTGTGGAAGGACTCATCAAGGTGTAGGAATTGTGGGCACAAGTTTGCATACAAAAATCCATCTGAATCATTCATAGGTTGTAACAAGCCAACATACTGCAATTCACATCATACACATGAATGCTCACATCCCCGACCAGCTGAAGTGATATACTGTAAAGGGTGTAATCAAGTCAAGCGCTCTGAGTATACAGATGGAGGCTGTGAAAAAAATCTGGACACAACAGAAATATGGGAGCATGTCCTACACAACACCAATTCTGGACCACATAGCACACCTTATACTCTTAAAAACCAGGGCAACAAATTGTTTTTTGTTTTGTTTAATTTCAGAAATATACTCAAGTTGGTAAGAGATGACTGTGAGCCTAATTACATCTTCCATTCATACAATCAAATCAGAAAGGCTTATAATCTTTTGGGAGGAAGGCAAACCATCAATTAGTCCCTTCTTCACCCTGGACAGCATCAACAAACACAACTTTAATGAAGGATTTGATGGTTGAAATTCAACAGAGAATGTGTAGGTGCTACAACAACACATGAAAATACTTTTGGCAGTCTTCAAGGCTCTTTTCAGCTTAATCAATTTTATTGTTGCTTATCTCTACATCCATCTAAGATTATATTTTGCTTGACTTTTACTTCTGAATGACTTGAATTGCAAGAATTTATTGTGGGGAATTTTACATTTGGTTTTTGCTCACATATTATTGCAAGGTTTGCTTAATCCACCTCTTGAAATTTGAGGTTGTGTGATGCTGAAGTTGAGTTTTCAATTTATTTGAAAGCCATACATTATGGTGATCAAAATTGGATATCCAAATTTTTGCTTGGTTCTACTCAACAACATACTCTGCAAATTTGGCTGGGACCTGTCAATTTGATTTTCGAGTATACTGAAAGCTCCATACCAAATATTTCTTTTTATTATTTTATATTATTATACTAACAGCTCCATATTCAATTTTGAACACAAACACATCAAATACAGATACGCAAACATTTATGCATGAATCCAATTCAATTAAAGTGTCAAATTTTGACACCTCTCATTGTGACTCCCAGAACCTCTCCTTCACCTAGACAGCAGAGATCCTTCTCTCCGGTCTAGCTGAGTACCCTGTGCTCCTTCCTTCTCTTCTCCTTCCTTTGTTCACTTTTACTTCACTTGTATGTAAAAACAAGAGATCCTCCTCTCCGGTCTAGACTGAAATTCAACCCAATTTGGTACTAGAAATTCTCTTTGCTAGTGCCTCTCCAACAGAAAGTGAAGGATTGAAAAACAATCCTTACAAACTCTCAAGTCTGGCCATCCATTTGGAAGAATAACTGCAAATGGATGTCCATAAACAGTGATGAATTTTTAGCCATTGAACCCATAGAAATGAGAGGAAAGGTTTTTGAATGGTCTTCTTAGCTACACAGACACTACCTGGAATATCTGATTGGAACATCAGGTCTGGCAAGTACTTGGGCAGTGCTGCCTGAGGAGTCTTCAGAAATGGATGTCTGACAAGATGGCAACCAGGATTGTCTGAGCAGTCACCAAGCTGTCTCATCTGCTTTGCCAGGCAAGTCTGACCTCTTCTTGGAAGGCCATTTCCAAGAAATACTTGGAAAGGTTGGTCCAATGACTTGTTGGACATTTTGGTCCAAGAAATTATTCCAGGAAGTGGGAGGAAGGGGGCTCAAT